CACAAGTGCTAGCCCTATTGTATTATTCTTGATATCTGTTAGTATGTCAGGAAACTTGTATAATAAATTATTTAAAATAATCCCATTTTTAAAAGACAGGTTAACACCAAATTAAAAAGAAAAGAGAAGGAAGAGGAGAAGGAAGAAAAGTGGGGTGGGGGGAGAGAAGGAAAAGGAGAAAGAGGAGGAGGAGGAAGAGAAGGAAGAGGGACATAACTCAGAAGGCAGTCCTTTCGAAGAGAGTGTGGCTGGCATGCTTACCCTGACATATGCATAGACTATACTAAATAATCATGGACCAGCTGTAGTCAAAAGACCAGCAATTGAGGCTGTACTATTACATGGCTTCTCTCTTTATAAATTCACAACAAATTGATCCATTGTACAGATAAGGAAACTGAAGCTTAGACAGGTGAAGTGACATTACTAAGTAGCCAGGCTGGGATTCTGCTTATTCTCAAAGCCATACTTGCCACCCACTGTGTTGCCCAGAGGCTGAAGCTAGGGAGGCAGAGGTCCTTGGCAGCAGAAAGGTAGGGCAGATGACAAGAAAGTCCCCCCAAAAGAGGGTTTTATTTGTTCTATCAGTGGAACTGTGGGGACATATATAAAGAGGTGAGGCAGGAATGCAAGAGAAGGTATACCCAGTTCCCGGAAGAATTTTCCAGCTCATCTTTTCCCTGCATCCCTGAAATCTTCTCAAGTCTCAGTTACTTGGGGCTAAAGAAGCAGGATTTGGGACAGGGAACAGAGACAGAGATAGGAGAAAAGATGGCAGGAAGGTGCTCAAGTCCAGACCTCTGTCTCTAGAGAGACTCGGTCTCCCAAACGCATACCTCCCAAATGCCTGCTATGTGCCATGAACTCTAGGTCCACTATCTCACTTGGTCTTGAGAGACATGTGTTACAGATGAGACAGAGGGTCAGGGGGGGTTAGTTAATGGTCTATTGTTGCAAAGCTACTGAGTGGCAGGGCTAGGATCCAAACCCAGGTATGCCTGGCTCCCAAGCCTAGGCTGTTCCATGCTGTTTCTCAAAGTCACCCTGCCAGTTCCCCACCCTCATTACCTGTGGCAGGGAAAAGGATGGCCTGGGAGACATCCTCCTCCTCGGGCTCAGAGCCCCTGCGAATGAAGCCCCCTAGGGCATGTCTTCGGGGTAGACGCCTGACTCCAGGATCCCCACCTTGCCTGGTCACTGCCGGGGGCCCCAAGGCATCCAGGAACAGGGCCCTCACCTTGGCCAGGACTAGCTCCCGATCCAGCTCCGGCCCGTGGCAGCTGGGCCTGCCCTGTGGGGCCAGCAGCAAAAGCAACAGCAGGGGCAGCTGGGGCACCATAGCTCACCTGGCCCTGCCAGCAGGGAACCCACACCCTGCCCTGTGCCCCTTCTGTCAGGGTCTGCCCAGGGCCTTCCCACTCTCTCCTCCCCATCCCACACCCCCCTCTTCTACCCTTCTCACCGGTCTTCCCCAGGCCTTCCCACGCCCTACAGACTGACTTGCCCCTGCCCATGGCATTGAGACCTCCTATCTCTGACGCAGATGTCTGTGGCCCTGAGTCTTATCTCCCACTCCCGCCAGGAATGCGGAGGAGGGGGCTGGGGAGGGTTTTCACCCCAAGTGACCTGACCCACACATACAAACATACAACCCCCACCCCCCACACAGAGGCACATGTGCACACACTGTGTAAATCTCACATCCTAGTACCTAGCACACAGAGGTGACATTAGGTGAGACAGGATCTAGGGAGCTGGGGTCAGCCAGCCTCTAAAAGTGTCATTTGTCAAGAAGACACAGTGCACCATGCTCTCAGACCTTCTGGGGCCCCTTTCAATCAAACAGCTGCTGGACCAGCCATGGGGGGAAGGGCTGGGACTGGGACTAGACCTGGGGCTAGTGCGGGGGGCAGGTGGTCCTGCTTGCTCTATACTTAGCCCGAGAAGCCAGTCTGGGCTCTTGTCTTCCAGCTGTGTCATCAGAGAATATTTTTGGGATTGGCAGCTGCAGGCGCCTCTGCCACTCAGGCCCAAGCCTGGCGGGCAGTTGGGGACCTGGCGGCTGGAGGTGGGAGGGAGGAGGGGAAAGAGGCCCAGGCTGTGGGAGGGGGTTGGGAAGAGAGGCTCCTAAGAGCAGGAAGCCAGGCCGCGGGCGGAGGAGCTGCGGGGCCCCTCGCTGCAAAGGCAAACAGGAAGGACTGCCCCCTGAGCTCTAGGCTCCGGCCGGGAATCGCCGCCGCCGCACAGCTGCGGCGCGGGGCTGAGGGTAAGGCGGCGATCTGAGAGCGGGCGACCAGAGGAAAGCTCCGCGGGTCCCCACGCTTGGTCCCGGACGTGCCCTGCCTCCAGGGTTCTCGCCGCTGTTCCCGGCTTCTGCAGCTCCCGCCGCCCGCCGTTTCCCCGCGCCGCTGCGGCCGCCGCGATGAAAGCAGGCTCGGGGGATCAGGGGAGCCCCCCATGCTTCCTGCGTTTCCCGCGGCCTGTGCGGGTGGTAAGTGGAGCCGAGGCCGAGCTCAAGTGCGTGGTCCTGGGGGAACCTCCGCCTATTGTCGTGTGGGAGAAGGGCGGGCAGCAGCTGGCGGCCTCGGATCGCCTGAGCTTCCCAGAGGATGGTGCAGAGCACGGCCTGCTGCTGAGCGGCGCGCTGCCCACCGACGCGGGGGTCTACGTGTGCCGCGCCCGCAATGCGGCCGGCGAGGCCTACGCAGCAGCCGCGGTCACCGTGCTGGAGCCGCCAGCCCTGGAGCCCGAGCCCGAGCCCCAGCCCCCTGAACACCCACTGCCGCCGCCAGGGGCCGGGGAGGGCGCCCCGGTGTTTCTGACCGGGCCGCGGTCCCAGTGGGTGCTGCGGGGGGTGGAGGTGGTGTTGACGTGCCAGGTGGGGGGCCTCCCCGAGCCCACACTATACTGGGAGAAGGACGGGATGGCCCTGGACGAAGTGTGGGACAGCAGCCACTTCGTGCTCGAGCCGGGCCGCGCCGAGGGTAGCCCGGGCACGAGCCTGGCGCTGCGCATCCTGGCGGTGCGGCTGCCGGATTCGGGCGTCTACGTGTGCCACGCCCGCAACGCGCACGGCCACGCGCAGGCCGGCGCGCTGCTCCAGGTGCACCAGCCACCGGAGAGCCCGCCAGAGGACCCGGACGAGGCTCCCGCGCCCGTGGTGGAGCCGCTCAAGTGCGCGCCCAAGACCTTCTGGGTGAACGAGGGCAAGCACGCCAAGTTCCGCTGCTACGTGATGGGCAAGCCCGAGCCTGAGATCGAATGGCACTGGGAGGGCCGCGCGCTGCTCCCCGACCGCCGCCGCCTTATGTACCGAGACCGTGACGGTGGCTTCGTGCTCAAGGTGCTCTACTGCCAGGCCAAGGACCGCGGGCTCTATGTGTGCGCGGCGCGCAACTCGGCGGGACAGACGCTTAGCGCCGTGCAGCTGCATGTCAAAGGTATCCCAGCGGGCGGCCCAGATGCCCAGAAGACTGGAGGTGGGAGGGTCCACGGGAATATTAAAATACTATCATTTCTGGGTGGCGCCTGTGGCTCAAGGAGTGGGGCGCTGGCCCCATATACCGGAGATGGCCAGTTCAAACCCGGCCCTGACCAAAAACTGTGACAACAACAACAAAAATGCCATTATTTCCTGCGGCCTACCCCCTGCCCTCCCAGGGATTCAGATTTAGTAGGTCTCCAAGGTACCAACAACTTCTTAACGAACTCCCCAAGTGATTCTGAAGGAGATGGTGGAAAACCACTGGATTTACAAACCTTGAGGGCCCTACAACTCTTCTAGTGGTTTTCAGCCTCCCTGATAGTTTACTCCTGCTTCCCCAACTAAATTCACATATGGAGCCCCAGTATATGAGACAGTCAAGGAGTATTTTACGAATGTAAATCTCTAGGTCTGAATTTATAACACATACTTAAAAAGCTAATCAGCGAGAACAGGGGGCTGTTTTACGGAGTACACACATTAGAAGTGACTGAACACCCAGTCTTTCCACAGTGGGTCTAGTCTTTGACTCTTTGGAGGAAGGCCCAGCTGCAATTATGACCTTGACAAACAACTGAATCACTGGAAAGGTAGACTTTAAGAGGACAAATGTCCTGCAATTTTTGTCTATTCTTTTACTAAACAATCTGATCCCCAGATTTGAAAGAAGAGAAGGTGAAGAAGAGAAAATTTGATTTCAAAATTGAATCACCAGCCATATCTAATGATGATTACATTACTCATAAACAGAAAATTCAAAGGGAAAAAAATCCCAAACTCACACTGGAAGTTAAAGGTCTCTCTAATAGGGTTTCATCACAATTTAAGGGGTTATACCTTCACTAATTTTTGTGCAACTTTTCTCTTGGAGAAGAGAATTGGTAATTTCTCATGAGTCTTGCCTGGCACAAAATCAGGTGTGTAGCACCTCAGTAGCATTGCTGACCTCACTGGTACAGCTTGATGTGCACAAACTGTCCAGGCCACTGCTGAACTGGAGCTCCATTAGGAAAGAAAAGCCCAGCAGGCAGGCAAGAGGCATTTGCCAGAGCTATGCAAAAAACTTGCTTCTCTAGCAACCCAAGTTAACCCTCTTGTTGTTTCCAACATTGTGGTATTTTTTTTTAATACAATTTTGAAAGGAGTTCAAATACTTGAAATTCAACTCAAACCGCTACAGAATATTATGAGGTGCCTCTGAGAGACTCTGAAGAGCAGTTTGAAGATCACTGATCTGATTCAGCCTCTCCCATTCCCCCTTTTACAAGTAAGGAACTGAGGCCCAACAATATTCAAATGGATTTTTTTTTTTTTTTGAGACAGAGCCTCAAACTGTCACCCTGGGTAGAGTGCTGTGGCATCACAGCTCACAGCAACCTCCAACTCCTGGGCTTAAGCAATTCTCTTGTCTCAACCTCCCAAGTAGCTGGGACTACGGGTGCCTGCCACCACGCCTGGCTATTTTTTGGTTGTAGTTGTTATTGTCATCTGGGAGGCCCAAGCTGGATTCAAACCCCCCAGCTCTAGTGTATGTGGCTGGCACCTTAACTGCTTGAGCTATAGGTGCCGAGCCTCAAATGGATTTTTCTCAGGGTTAGATAGCTAGTAAGTGTCAGGGCCAGATGAGAATTTAGGCTGTCTGACTTTCATTCTGGTAATTTTTCTGTAATTCCCCAAGTCTGCTGGCCATGGACAAAGAGCACTCCAGGAGTGAAGGTGCGTTTAGGAGCTTTCCCTGTTTGGTCCATCTCCAGAACCTTTTCTTGTCTTTCCCCTCTCTGTAGAGCCCCGCCTTCGGTTCACGAGGCCCCTGCAGGATGTGGAGGGCAGGGAGAATGGGATTGTTGTGCTGGAGTGTAAAGTACCCAACTCCCGCATCCCCACGGCCTGGTTCCGCGAGGACCAACGACTGTTGCCCTGTCGCAAGTATGAGCAGATCGAAGAGGGCACCGTCCGACGCCTCATCATCCATAGGCTGAAGGCAGATGATGATGGAGTCTACCTGTGTGAGATGCGGAGCCGAGTGCGCACTGTGGCCAACGTGACAGTCAAAGGTCTGCTGGCCAGCGGGGAGGAGGCTGAGGCTGAGGCTGAGGCTGGTGTTCTGAGTCCAGGCTGATGTATTCCTGTCCTCTTCTCAGGGCCCATCCTAAAGCGGCTTCCCCGGAAGCTCGATGTCCTGGAGGGAGAGAATGCAGTGCTGTTGGTGGAGACACAAGAGGCTGGGGTTGAGGGGCGCTGGAGCCGTGATGGGGAAGAGCTCCCAGCCACCTGCCAGACCAGCTCTGGCCACATGCATGCCCTGGTCCTTCCAGGAGTCACCCGAGAGGATGCTGGAGAAGTCACATTTAGCCTGGGCAACTCCCGTACCACCACTCTGCTTAGAGTCAAATGTGAGAACAGTAAGGCCTTTAGACAGGAGGGCCAGGGCAGGAGGGTGACCAGATGCTAGAGCTGAGTTGATGAAAGATTTAGGGGGAAAGGACTGTGGATCCTGAGCAAGATTGGAACACAATCTCTGCCTTGGTCTCAGGTGTCAAGCACAGTCCCCCAGGACCCCCTGTGTTGGTAGAGATGTTCAAGGGCCACAAGAACACGGTCCTGTTGACCTGGAAGGCACCTGACCCAGCTCCTGAGACCCCTTTCATCTACCGACTGGAGCGGCAAGAGGTGGGCTCTGAAGACTGGATCCAATGTTTCAGCATTGAGAAAGCCGGAGCCGTGGAGGTGCCAGGGGACTGTGTACCCTCTGAGGGTGACTACCGCTTCCGTGTCTGCACGGTCAGCGAACATGGCCGCAGTCCCCACGTTGTGTTCCATGGTTCTGCTCACCTCGGTGAGTCAGTTCTGCCCAGCCCTGCCCATCAGCAGCCACACCCAAAGTCATGTCCCTCCCCCCATCACCCCTCTTCCCTTCCCTGGGCCCTCAGTGTTTGTCCTCTCATATGCCTTCCATCCACTAACCTTTGCCCTCTGCTACCTTTTCTCGTTCTGATGGTTATACTCTGTCCCTGCTCAGTGCCCACAGCTCGCCTGGTGGCAGGTCTAGAGGATGTGCAAGTATACGCTGGGGAAGATGCTGTCTTCTCCCTTGATCTCTCCACCATCATCCAGGGCACCTGGTTCCTTAATGGGGAAGAGCTCAAGAGTAATGAGCCAGAGGGCCAGGTGGACCCTGGGGCCCTGCGCTACCGTGTGGAGCAGAAGGGCCTGCAGCACAGACTGATCCTGCAAGCAGTCAAGCACGAGGACAGTGGGGCCCTGGTGGGCTTCAGCTGCCCTGGTGTGCAGGACTCAGCTGCCCTCACCATCCAAGGTTGGTGCTGGTAGGGACTTGGGTGGGTAGAGGGTCAAAACAGCAAAGTCTGACATTGTTCCCATTTCTCCCATCTGAGCCAGGAGGGTAAAGAGCATCCATCTACAATGGGCTCAGATTGAGGGCTCAGGTTCAGAAGGCCAATTTTATCCCCTATGCAGCAGGCAGGGCAACCCTTATTATCTTTGTCAGCATCATACCTCAATTCTCTGCAGTACTTGTGGCTTACAAAATTCTGTGATGTTTGTCATCTGATTTGAGAGGCACAGATCTTGCCCGCTAGTCCCTGACTCCTCACCTGCCCTATTATCTAATAGCTGCCATTGCCATAGCAACTTCCTACATGACAGGCAGTCCTAATTACTTCACAGACATTAACACAATCCTCTCTATAAGATAGGTTCTTTTGCCATCCCTATTTTCTAGATAGGGAAACTAAGGCACAGAGAGGTCAAGTGATTTGGCCAAAGTCACAAAGCCTAATGAGAGGTGGTACTAGATTGTGAATCCAGGGAGTCTGGCTCCAGAATCCTACTATGCCACCTGTTGAAATGGGGAAGGAAAGTGAATGAGGCTTCCCTCCAGGGGAAATTGGGGGTGGTGGTGAAAGTTCAAGGAACATGCCAGCATTTGACTTCTCACCACTGCTGAAGTTGATAAGGCCAATCAAGGAATCCATTGGCACCCAACCATGGGGCCTTGAGGTGAGTAGCTTCTAGCATCACAGTCAGAGGGCAATCAGAGCAGCATTTCCAAAATGTGATCCAGGATATCAACATGAGAATTACCTGAGGGCCCTGCTCAGGTGTAAATGAGGAATTCTACATTTTTAGCAGGCTCCCTAGGAATTCTTATGTACAGTAAAACCACTACTCTTACAAGTTGGTGGATGAGCCCAAACCTATTTTTTATTTTATTTGTTTATTTATTTTGAGACAGAGTCTTAACTATGTTGCCCTTGGTAGAGTGCTGTGACATCACAGCTCACAGCAACCTCAAGCCTTAACCTTGGGCTTAAGTGATTCTCTTGCCTCAGCCTCCCAAGTAGCTGGGACTACAGGCGCCCACCACAACGCCTGGCTGTTTTTCCATTGCAGTTGTTATTGTTTAGCTGGCCTGGGCTGGGTTTGAGCCCACCAGCCTGGGTGTATGTGGCCCACCCTACCCACTGTGCTACGGGCGCTGCTCCAAACCTATTTTTTAAAACTCCAACAAACATGTTCACAGCAGCCACCTTTCCTGATGCATCCACCTCTACACCGAGCACATGCACTGGAGAGAAGGGTGCTTATCCATACTTCTCCCCACACAGAGAGCCCAGTGCACATCCTGAGCCCTCAGGAAAAGGTGTCCTTGAACTTCACAACTTCAGAAAGGGTGGTGCTGACCTGTGAGCTCTCACGGGTGGACTTCCCAGCGGCCTGGTACAAGGATGGGCAGAAGGTGGAGGAAAGCGAGTCACTGGTGGTGAAGATGGATGGGCGCAAACACCGCCTGATCCTGCCTGAGGCTGAAGTGCGGGACAGTGGCGAGTTTGAGTGCAGAACAGAAGGAGTCTCTGCCTTCTTCAGCGTTACCATCCGAGGTCAGGAACCGTCCTAGCCTGGGCTCCTTCAGTGGAGGCTGTTTCTGAGATCCTTGCAAGCCCTAGCTCCCTAGTCTGCCTGCTTGAGTGGGGAGGGAGTCCCTTCCAGGGAGAGAATGAGCCAGTGGACATGTTCCATATCACTCTGGGCTTGCTGCTTACCCCTGTCAGACACTTGGACTCCACATACTCCATGCTGGGCTTGGGGGGACAAAGTGCAATTAAGGGGAGGCAAGATGGGAGTGGACATTGATTGGGCAGCTACTGTTGAGTCAAGCACTAGGCTAAGCACTTCCGATGCACACTTGAATTTCATCTTTACAAGTAGATGAGGGGCAATCTACATTTCGCAGATAAACTGAGGCTCTAAGAGAGTATGTGACCTCCCACTTATTGTCAAAGCCAGCAAACCACAGCTCGCAGGAGTCACATCCAGGCCTGCACTTCTTTAGCTGCCCCTGGAGGTCAAAGGCAACAGAAGCATTAAGAATAGCATCCCCGGGGTTTTCACAAGGCAGTGTGTGATCTGGCTGCTTCAGGAACACCCCAGAGGCTTTATAAATGCATATGCCCAGTCCCCTGGACTCTCTAGAGCCTGGAAAGGGTGGAGCCTTGAAATGCTGACTCTAGCAGGGCAGTGTCAAAGCCATGGAGCCCACCCATCTCACTTTTTTTTTGTTTTTTTGAGACAGTCTCACTATGTCGCCCTTGGTAGAGTGCCGTGGCATCATATCTCACAGCAACCTCAAACTCCTAGGCTTAAGTGATTCTCGTGCCTCAGCCTCCCAGTAGCTGGAACTACAGGCACCCACCGCAGTGCCTGGCTATTTTTTGGTTGTAGTTGGCCCTGGCCGGGTTTGAACCCTCCAGCCTTGGTGTGTGTAGCTGGCGCCATAACCACTGTGCTACGGGAGCCAAGCCATATTTTCTAACTTTAATGGGAAGTTCTATTTGCAATACTATTACCAGGAGGTCCTGTGCCCTCTGCCCAAATTCTCCTGGTATCAGGGAACTCGCTGTAAGGAATGGCTGTCCCACTGTTGGCATTTGTTAGATTGTTCTATACCTCCTGCTCATCCTGAGGGCTTTCTTGTAATAGAAGTAGCAAGCATAGTCCTAGTGATAGTCACCTCCTGTCAGCCTGGACAAACTGGTTGCCACTGAGCCTCTGAGCCAGAGGAGACCCACAGAGGAGCATTCAGCTGCCGTGTGATCTCTTGCCATGCACTCAGTGTCTCATGTCATTGTCCCAGACCCTTAACTCAGTGTGGTCTTAGCCCTCTTCAGTGTACTCCTGTGTGGAGATAGTATCTCATGTCCTATATGGGGCGTGTCTGTGTGACCGCACCTCTACTCCCCTCCCAGATCCCCCAGTGCACATTGTGGACCCCCAGGAGCATGTGTTTGTACATGCCATCACCTCTGAGTGTGTCATGCTGACATGTGAGGTGGACCGAGAGGATGCCCCTGTGCACTGGTACAAGGACGGGCAGGAGGTGGAGGACAATGACTTCATGGTGCTGGAAAGTGAAGGGCCTCATCACCGCCTGGTGCTACCTGCTGCCCAGCCCCAAGATGGAGGCGAGTTTCAGTGCGTTGCTGGAGAGGAGCGTGCCTGCTTCACTGTCACCATCACAGGTGGGAGGCCTGGCCTGGCGGGTCACAGAGGGACACACCTGCTGGAACAACTTCGTACTTCCACTCCTGGGTCACTGTTCCCAGCCCCAGCTACCCTTCCCCTAGCTGATCCAACCTCCTCTCTTTCCTCCACCCACAATCTAATCAAATTCAAGAAATGTGTTGCCATGAGCACATTGGTCAAAGCTACACCTGTCACCAGGGAAGCCTTGCCTTCTCTATTCTGAAGACTCCTGCCAAGGGGAACTTGGGGGGTGCAAATCTGTTGCCGGGCAGGGTCTAGGGAAAGTAGTCCTAGGCACAGCAGTGGTCAGGTGATCTCCGAGTCCTGGAGGAGACCACAACTGCTTGTGAGGATCCAACTATCTTTTCCCCAGTTGTACTGTTCATACTATTCCTGTCCCAACCCAGAGAATGTGGAGTGTTTCTATAGCTGAGGCTGTCAACAGGCTCCCCACCATGCTGCATGGCACAAACTGCACTGCGCAGTGCCTGCTGTGCTTTGGTGATTGGGTTTGTATTGCTGGCCATGATGGCTATATTGAGGGGATCATGTGTCTTTAGCTGTAACTGGTTAAGCTGTTGTGAGCCACACTCCGAAGGAGGCTCCTCTTTAGCACATAGTCTAGCCTCCAGGAGTAGAGAACAGCCCTGGATTAGGGAGGGCAGAAGGGCACACCAGCCTGCCCCTCATGCCCAATGGCATCTGTCTCTGTCCTCCAGATGTTTCCTCATGGATTGTGTACCCCAGTGGCAAGGTGTACGTGGCAGCTGTGCGCCTGGAGCGTGTGGTGCTGACCTGTGAGCTATGCCGGCCCTGGGCTGAGGTGCGCTGGACCAAGGATGGTGAGGAGGTAGTGGAGAGTCCAGCGCTTCTCCTGCAGAAGGAAGACACCGTCCGCCGCCTGGTGCTGCCCGCTGTCCAGATGGAGGACTCCGGCGAGTACTTGTGTGAAATCGATGATGAGTCGGCCTCTTTCACTGTCACTGTCACAGGTGTGCGTCCACCCCAACTCCCCAGGGTCAGGAGAGGACAGCCCTGAGCCCTGGGGGAGCTGTCCTACATCTCCTGTTAGCACACTGGGGAAAGGAAAGTGTGGGCTGGGGGTGCATGTACCAAGGTCTCTGCTGGGAAGAGCTCAGGGTCCCTTTCTGGTCCCCAAGCCAGGATTGGCCATTTGCCACCAGCTCACTTATTAAGCACTTTGTCTGGGCCAGGTGCAGAGCGTCACTGGTGAGTAATGTTCTCAGGGAGCTGTCAGTCTAGCAAGAAGGTAGCTGTTAACCAGGGGTCGCAAACGGGCAGTTCTGGGGCCCCTATGCAGCCCACACATGTGCTTTGTTTGGCCTGCAGAGTCTTACCAAAGTCAGGACAGTTCAAATAACAATCCGGAGTTATGCGTCCTCTTGAAAAAGCCGAAGAACCGGCGGCTCTGGTCACGCTTCCCCCCATGGAGACGAACGGCTGGCACTGAGTAGCCGCTGCCCTATACCTGGGGCCCACATTCCTCTTCCCGCTTCCTTGCTATTCTTTTCTGTCTCTCCAACAGCTGCAGCCACTGACCTAACCAACCTGACCCCTTCAGGCATTTGAGTTTGCGACCCCTGTGTTAAACCAATAAACACGCAAATAAATGTACAGTGACACCTGATGATAAGTGCTGTGAGGACAGGGGCTCCGGAGAGCAGAGCAGGAGGATCAGGGAGGGCCTCAAAGAAAGCCACCATTCTACACATGGGAGCCGGCAGTTCATAGGTAGACATGGTCTTTTCCTCCCAGAGCACACAAGGTCTTAGGGTTGTTGCGGGCCACCATAGAGACCCTGAGGCTGGGGGCTGCTGGGTGCCACTGTCTGGGCGGCAGGAAGTCCCTTCAAAGCCTTTACTTGAGTAGGAGCTGAGCTGGGGAGAGGGTGGGGTGTTGGTGGTGAGGGAGGGTGTTCAAGGTGGGAAAAAGCACAGAACAGCTACAGAAGTGAAGGTGGTTCAGTGCCAGAGACTCAGGGGCTACAGTTCAGTGTGTGGGGTCAAGGGTTGTAGGGCAGCCTGGGCTTCTCTGGGTGGCGCAGAAGAACCCTGATGGCGGCACTGGAATGCCTATCCTGCTGGCACAAGCCTTGTCACTCTCTCTTTGCCCTGCCCTAGCCCAGGCTGAACTGCTTAGGGGCCCCCCACTCCATGCAAGCCAGATACTCAGCCTGGTACATAGAAGCCACAATGCCAAAGAGGCCTTCTGCACACGTTTTGTCCTATAGGGCGTCGCCTTCACCTTCTCCCACCCCAAGTCCTGGCCAGATAATGGCCCCAGCTGCACAGATTCCAGCCTATACTTGAGCTCCACAGGAAACACCAGACTCTTCACAAGGAAGTTCACACAAACACCACCTCTGCTCTGGGGCTGAGTGAACAAGTCTGATGCCAAGCTGAGGTCCTAGGGCCATGCAGGCACCTAAGCCTTACTGTGCTCACCCACCATCCCATCCCATCCCATCCCCCAAATCCTTGGGCAGCCTCACTCTACAATCTCCTGGGAGGCCTTACTGGGCCTCAGAGAACCAGCCTGCATCCTCTAGCCTCTTAGAGTGAGCCCACACAACCCTCCTTCCCAAATGGGCTCGCTGTAAGAGGGCTGAGTATATATAAGAATAGGTGTATTGGCTCATGCACCCCTGCAAAATCGGGACGCTAGCAGTTCCTCCGCCCAGCCGCAAGGGGGCCAAGTGCTAAAGGAGCACTGGACTCTTCCTGGGGACTTGATTCTGCAGGACCACCTCTGCATGAGGGTGTGAGCAGGCCTGGGCTCAAGGCACTGGTCACGTCCAGTACTGACCTGGCTTGATGATCAGTGCTTGGCAATGAGCTCCCAGAACCAGCATTTAGCATCTCTGGGGAAACTAAGACAGCTGTTGGCAAATCTCATGCACAGATGCAAAAAGCATTACTGTGTTCCAGCAAACATTGGCTTGGAATGCTTACCACTGCCTGCAGAGTCTGAGCCTGCATTTAGCAGATGGCATTTCTTCCTCCTGCATTAGGATAGGTGTAGCCAGTTGTGACCTTAAGGGAGTTGCTTAATCACTCTGTGCCCTAGTTCCCTTGCCTGCAAAATGGAGGATAAAACAATGCTTAACTCCTAGGGTTGCTGTGAGAGTTTCTAAGTCTAGTGCTTAGGACTGTCTCCTGGAGCCTTGGGAAGCAGTATGTGTTTGCTGTTACAGATCCATCATCCTTTATCCACAATTCGGAAATTCAAAAAACTCAAAAAGATTTTTATAAATTTGGTATTCAAACTCATTTTAGTAAAACCCGAGCTTGACTACTGTAAAGCTGTTTTTAATTATTCTGTTTAGGGTAAGTAGAGCTTTGTCTTTGTATTTATAAGATGGATATATCCTGTTAGGGAGAATGTAATATGTTACAGCACAGACGTGTTGATGTGAATGATGATGGAGGAAGCTCCACTATAGTGGGGGCAAAGGTAAGCAAGATGATATGTGATAAATGCGCCTTTCTGGAATTCAAAGCATTCTAGGTTTTGTAACACTTCTGGTCCCAGGGATTTCAGAGAACAGTTTATGGGCCTATTTTTGCTTATTATGATTGTGCTTTTTACTCTTATTATCATGTGGGTGACAAGAACTTCATGCTGCTAAGTGGCTCTAGGGAGAGTAATGGTGAGTTTGTGACAGCCTGTGGTTGTCCCCACTCTGCAGAGCCTCCAGTGCGGATCATATACCCCCGGGATGAGGTGACCTTGATTGCTGTGACCTTGGAGTGTGTGGTGCTGATGTGTGAGCTGTCCCAGGAGGATGCTCCTGTGCGCTGGTACAAGGATGGGCTGGAGGTAGAGGAGAGCGAGGCCCTTGTGCTGGAGAGGGATGGGCCACGCTGCCGCCTGGTGCTGCCAGCTGCCCTGCCCAAGGATGGGGGCGAGTTTGTGTGTGATGCTGGAGATGACTCAGCTTTCTTCACTGTGACTGTCACAGGTGGGCAGTCTGTAGGGAACCCTGGGGAGGTAGAAGCAGGGGGCTAGAGGGCTGAGGGACAGGCACCCAACTATCCCTCAATGCCTTCTCCTTTAGTCCCATCAGTCTCAGCCATCATAGAGTCCAGCTTGTCCGAATCAGGTCAGGACAGTAAGGCCTGGTGAGAGGGAACCCAGCCTTTAGGACTGTTCATTCATTCATTTGTCTAACAAATACTCAGTAACTTCTACATGCTGGGCACTGTTCTAGGTTGGGGATATCATACTGAGTCAATAAAACAACACCTCCTGCCTTCATGGAGCTTGCACTCCGGTGAGGGTGGACAGACAAAAAATAAGTAAAACAGATGGTTTGCCAGGAGGTGATAAGTGCATTGGAGGCAAAGCAGGGAAAGGAGATAGGAAGTGGGGATGGGTGTAGAATGTGGTTTGCACGGGGTCAAGTGGATCTGGATGTGAGTCCAGATCTGCCTCTTCTGTGTGATCTCGGGCAAGTCAGTTTCTTCTGAAGAGGCCTCAGGTCCTCATCTGTAGAATGTAGGCAATAGAGGCACACCTCCTGGGGTTGGTCAGTAACTGAGAAAGGAGCTGCAGTGTGCTTAGTACAGCAGGGAGAAAGGGTTGAGCATCTGGTGGCTGTGGCAGGGAGAGGCCGTCTGGCCCAGCCAGCGTGCCCGTCTTTCTGTCCACCCACCAGCCCCACCAGAGAGGATTGTGCACCCAGCAGCCCGCTCCCTGGATCTGCAGTTCGGGACACCAGGGCGTGTGGAGCTGCGCTGTGAGGTGGCTCCGGCTGGGTCCCAGGTGCGCTGGTACAAGGATGGCCTGGAGGTGGAGGCATCAGACACCCTGCAGCTAGGTGCTGAAGGGCCCGCCCGCACCCTGACCCTGCCCCATGCCCAGCTGGAGGATGCCGGGGAGTATGTCTGTGAGACCCGTGATGAGGCCGTCACCTTCAACGTCTGCCTGGCTGGTGGGTGCTCCTGGCCAGCCCAGGACAAGGAGGCTGGGGCAAACATAGGCTGACATCCTCCTTTCTTTATCCAGAGTCACCAGTGCAGTTCCTTGCCCCAGAGGCAGCCCCTGGTCCAGTTTGTGTGGCTCCTGGAGAGCCAGTGGTACTGACCTGTGAACTGTCCCGGGCTGGTGCCCCTGTGTACTGGAGCCATAATGAGAGGCCCATGCAGGAGGGTGAGGGCCTGGAGCTACACACTGAGGGCCCCCGCCGTGTCCTCTGCATCCGGGCTGCAAGCCCAGCCCACGCAGGCCTCTACACCTGCCAGTCTGGGACAGCCCCAGGAGCCCCAAGTGTCAGCTTCACTGTCCAGGTGGCTGGTGAGTATAGCATGGGCAGAATGGCTGAGAGACGTGCCTCTGACCCTGTAGGTTTCCCTGCTATTTGAGCACGCCTTGTCCATCCCTTACCACACCTCCCTCAGTGTCTTACCCCATCTTGCCTGCCACTGCCTTCCTCATAGCCTCTCCTCCCAGTGACCCTTAGCTCTGACCCCACAGAGCCCCCCGTGCGGGTGGTGGCCCCCGAGGCAGCCCAGACAAGGGTTCGAAGTACCCCAGGTGGGGACCTAGAGCTGGTGGTGCACCTCTCCGGGCCTGGGGACCCTGTGCGCTGGTACAAGGACGGGGAGCGACTGGCAAGCAAGGGGCGAGTGCAGCTGGAGCAGGACGGGGCCAGGCAGGTGCTGCGGGTGCGGGGGGCACGGAGCGGGGATGCTGGGGAGTACCTGTGCGACACGCCCCAGGACAGCCGCATCTTTCTCGTCAGTGTTGAAGGTAATAGAGCAACCCTTACACCCTGTGGGCCCTGGCACCCCAAGGACCATCCTCTACCGTTCTAGGGCCAATCTCTCTATCCCTGCCTTTGACTCTACCCAGTGCAAGCATGACTATTATGTGGATGAGGACTTGGGCCTCCCTCTTCCAAATATCCTCTGATAGGAGGCGGCTAGCCCACCCAGTGGTTAAAAACAGGGGCTCTCGAGTCAAGCCACCCAGGTCCCAACCTGGATTCTGTCATTTGAGGGGACAGTGCTGGTCTTACAGGCCTGTCATGACAAGTAAATGCCATAAATAGGGTTCAGGGGAAATGGTCTGCTATCATTAGTAAGTCAGAGAGGTGGGGTGCCGGGCCAGGATTGACAAGAGCTGGCTAAAAGGAGTAGCACAGAGTTGGCAGGATATCTTTTGAGATACCCCCATGGCTGATGTACAGTAGGTCCTCAGAAAAGATTTATTAAATGGCTTGAGACATGAGGGCCCACACCCTGAGGAGGGGATGAGCAGAGGCAGGGGGAAAAACTAAGCCTAGCTTGCTGTCTGGTACCCCTCCCCAGAGCCACCACCGGTGAAGGTGGTCTCAGAGCTGACACCACTGACTGTCCATGAGGGCGATGATGCCACATTCCGGTGTGAAGTCTCCCCACCAGATGCCAGTGTCACTTGGCTGTGCAATGGGATCATTGTCACGCCAGGGCCCCAGCTGGAGATAGCCCAGAATGGCTCAAATCATACTCTGACCTTGCGAAGCTGCCAGCTTGGGGATTCAGGGACTGTGACTGCACGGGCAGGGAACACAGCCACAAGTGCCCGGCTCCATGTTCGAGGTATGTTCTCAGGGAGACGAAATGCTCTGTTCCCTGTACCATACCCCAGCCCTGGCCCCAGCACCCTTGCCCTTCTGCCTGGGGACAGGCTAGTGAAATAGTGCAGGGCCAGCCTATAGCCCCCACCTGGCTCCAAGCCTCCTTCCTTTTCCCCACCAGAGATGGAGCTGCTGTTCCTGCGGCGGCTGCAGGATGTGCGGGCAGAGGAAGGCCAGAATGTGTGCCTTGAAGTGGAGACAGGCCGAGTGGGTACAGCAGGGGCTGTGCGCTGGCTGCGAGGTGGGGAGCCCTTGAGTCAAGACTCACGCCTGTCCATGGCCCAGGATGGACACATCCACCGCCTCTTCATCCATGGTGTCATACTAGCTGACCAGGGTACCTACGGCTGTGAGAGCCACCATGATCGCACCCTGGCCAGGCTCAGCGTGAGGCGTGAGTGCCCCGTTCTGTCCTAACACATCACCTGCCCATAGCACAGCCCTTCCTGGATGCCCCAAGAGCCCTTCAGACCCCCCACCAAAGTGCCCCTCACCACTGAGGAACCTGCAGCAGCCTACCCAAAGCAAAACTTTTCTTTTTCTAATGTTTTTCTATTTACCTTAGAAGTCCCTGTGATTTTGCATTCCATTTCATACTCCCAAGTTGGCTTTGCTATAAACATTGTACTCCAGAAAGACTTGCCGCGCTTATCCTTTAGCCATCCATGTTCCCCAGGGATACGTGTGCCCATTTAACTAAGAAACAGGGATTGCTGGCAAATAGCGCCCACGCCTCCCACACCAAGCTGGGGCCCTCTATTACCTGTATGACTTCATGTGAGCTACCTAATCTCTCTGAGCCAAGTCTCCTTAAAAATGGGGTTTATGGGATAGTGCCCATAGCTCAGTGGGTAGGGTGCTGGCTACGTACACCAAGGCCAGCTAAAACAACAATGAGAACTGCAACGAAAACAAGAAAATAGCTGGGCGTTGTGGCGGGCGCCTGTAGTCCCAGCTACTTGCAAGGTTAAGACAAGAGAATCGCTTAAGCCCAAGAGTTTGAGGTTCCTGTGAACTGTGATGCCATGGCTCTCACTACCCAGGGTGATAGCTTGAGACTCTATCTACAAAAAAAAAAAAAAAAAGTTTCATTTAATCCATTAGCACACACCTTTAACTAACCTAAAAAATGCCCACATAGGGAGGCACCTGTGGCTCAAAGGGGTAAGGCACTGGCCCCATACACCGGAGGTGGCGGATCCAAACCCAGCCCTGGCCAAAAACTGCAAAAGAAAAAAAGCCCCACATAGATCTTGGTGAATGGTTGTCATTGATGATATTGATATTCTCTTGTAATTTATTTCATTCATATTATTGTCATGATAGACCCATGTCCCAATACTATTCACTCTATACAGTCAGGGACAACTAGGGCCTAGACAGGTTAAGCAGTTTGCCAAAAATTACACAGTGCACAAACTATGTGGTAGAGCTAGGTCCCAATCCCAGTGTGTCTGACTCCAAATTCTATTCTCCTTCTAGTGTCAGAGCATCCCTCACCCAGTCTTCCAGAATCTCTTAACCATACCTCACCTTCTTCCTGTGTCCTCCTCTAACCCCATTGTGGCCCCCTCCCAACATCTGACTGGCCATGCTCACTTCTTCCTGCGTCCGGGTTCTGAACTCTAGTCAGGGCCTTAGGTTGGGTATTGGATGACAGAGACAGGGCCAAGGGGTGGTGAGCCCTTGCAGCCCCTGCCTAAGCTGGACGCCTCATCTGCCCTCTCTCCTACCTCCCTCCACCAGCAAAGCCACTGAGGATGCTTCGGCCTCTGGAAGATGTGACTGTCAGTGAGGGGGGCAGTGCCTCCTTCCAACTGGAGCTATCCCAGGAGGGTGTAACTGGGGAGTGGGCTCGAGGTGGAATCCGGCTGCAGCCGGGACCCAAGTGCCACATTCATGTGGAGGGCCATACTCACCGTCTGGTACTGAATGGACTGGGCTTGGCTGACTCTGGCTGTGTCTCCTTCACGGTGGATTCCCTGCGCTGTGCAGCCAGACTCACTGTGAGAGGTGTGGCCTTGAGGACCACAACCTGCCTGATGAACCATGTGGCCCTACAGTCCCCTGGGTGTGACTACTGACCCCTCTACCTGTGTGCCCCCCCACACACACTGACTATGCTTGTCCCAGTGTGGCTTCCCTGACCCTTAGGCCCTGTGTGGCCCTGGTGACTGTACTGCCTGTGTATGGATCCTCTGACTACCCCAGTCCCAACTGCCTCATGCCCCATACCATGTGTCCCTACCAGCCACTGTGTGACCCTACTGACCATACTGCCTGCCATGGCCCCCCTTACCTGCCTGAGTGTAGCCTGTTACCACTCCAATCCCTCCAGCCCACTGACTTGAGTATCCCCCATTTTTGCTGTGAGTCCCAGCATGTTCCCCACTGACCACACCACTCCCGAGTGGCTTCTCTAAACCCATCATGCCCCCCTGACCAGGGTCTTCTACTATCCACTGTAGCCAAACCTGGCCACTGACTATGCCCACCTATAGATGGCTCTGCTCATGGCTCTGCTGGCAACTCTGCTCTAGTTTCCCCTTTCTCCTCTGGCCTCCAGCATGTCCCCCACTAACCACCTTAAAGTGTGCCTCCCAGCTGGCCACTCCTTCCTCATTGACTCTCTGGCCCTTCGATGTTACCCACTGACTAATCCTTGGCATCTTGTTGGATCATTTGTCCTCATCACATCCCCCACTCACTAGTGGCCTCCGTTGATGACCTTGTCTAAATGTGTCTACTATTGACTGCTTGTCCCATGTGTGTCCTCCTTGTCCCTGCACCAACTGGGTTCTTATTCTGCTCTTACCCTTGTTCCCTCTGCATTGTCCTCCCTCTCCCACTCCCAGAGGTCCCAGTGACCATTGTGCGGGGGCCACAGGACCTAGAAGTGACAGAGGGCGACACAGCTACATTCGAGTGCGAGCTTTCCCAAACCTTGGCTGATGTTACCTGGGAGAAGGTCAGAACCCAGCCCTAGCCTAAACCATTTCAGTGTAATAACAACAATGATAATGCCCCGACAGAAATAACTAATACTCATGTATGCCAAGATTTATGTTACATTTAATCCGTTGAATCCTTACCAGCCTAGGAAGCAAGGAAGCAAGTCTGTTATCATCTATAAAGACACTGATGTTCAGTGAGGTGAAGTTACCTGCCCAAAGGCAGACAAAAGGGGTGGAGCCCATATGTGAATCCAGGTTTGCCTAATTACAGAATCTTCACCCATGTTCTATGTGATTGGTATCTGGCTCTGGGCTTCCTGTGCCCGTGGTGCCTCTTCATGGCTGTAACGCCCCCAAAGGGTGATACTTTCACAAAGAGGTTCCTGGAGCAGGCCCAAAGGCGTGGGAACAGGAGACACTCCTAAAGTCGGCTGCGGTGGCTCATGGCTATAATCCCAGCACTCTGAAAGGCTGAGGTGGGCAGATCGTCTGAGCTCAGGACTTTGAGACCAGCCTGAGCTAGAGCGAGATCCAGTTTCTAAAAATAGCCGGATGTTGTGGCAGGCGGCTTTAGTCCCAGCTACTAGGTAGGCTGAGGAAATAGAATGGCCTGACCCCCAAAGTTTGAGGGTGCTGTGAGTTATGACGCACTCTACCCAGGGCCACAAAGTGAGACTGTGTCCCCCCAAAAACGCGCCTAGAGACCACTTGACATCAAGACGGCGCCTCCGCCTTCCAGGGCCTGAAAGTGTTCTTGGAGCCTCTGATTGGAGAAGCAGGGAGAAGGAACTGCAGACGGGATGATTGATTTGAAGGGAGGTCGGGACTCGGCCTAACTTTACTGATTATCTTATATACTTTCAAACATTCAGTAAGAATTTAACACGCCGCCTGTGTCCAACCCGGCTCGCTCCAACCCTCTGCAACTCCTGCCTCTAGGATGGGCACGCGCTCACCCCCAGTCCTCAGCTCCGGCTCCAGGCCGTAGGCACGCGGCGCCTTCTCCAGCTGCGGTGCTGCAGCCCCTTGGACGCCGGGACCTACAGCTGCGCAGTGGGGACGACCCGCACCGGGCCTGTCCACCTGACAGTGCGCGGTGGGTAGAGGGCGTGGTGAGGGCAGGGAATTGCTTGGGCCCAGGAGTAGCGGACAGGTTCTTTCCCGGGGACTGACCTTGGAGGGGGCGTGGCGGGGTGTGGTCTGTTCCGCCCCGCCCCGTCTCACACCCCAACTCGGTCCCCTAGAGCGTAAGGTGGCTGTCCTCTCAGAGCTCCGATCCGTGAGCGCCCTCGAAGGTGAAGGCGCTACATTCGAATGCACAGTGTCGGAGGCCGAGACTGCGGGGCGCTGGGAGCTCGGAGGCCGCCCCCTGAGACCCGAAGGCCGAGTCCGCATCCGACAGGAAGGTATGGCCGCCTTCCCATCACCTTCTCTAATCCCAGGCTCAGGGAGACCGCGCCCTGCCAGGATAAGCCCCGCCTCCAGGCCCTCTTCCCGCCCCCAGCTCTGAGTCCTGGACCTCTCCTCTTCCGGTTCGGCATCCCAGTTCCGCCCACCCTAGCGCATATTTAAGGCGTCGGAGCCATCCCTGGGACCTCCTCATGCCCCACCTTCATCCCTGAACCCTCCTCAGAGGCGGCTCCGGCCTCGCTAGCGCCCCCCTCATCCGCAGGGAAGAAACACATCCTGATGCTGAGCGAGTTGCGCGCTGAGGACGCCGGTGAAGTCCGCTTCTATGCAGGACCCGCCCAGTCCTTGGCTCTCCTGGAGGTGGAGGGTAAGCAACTGGGGTTAAGGTGACAGGGAAAGGAACATCATCTCCTCCCCTGAGACTGACAGACTGGTGCTGGTCCTAGGAACGTTCTCTCCTTCCCTTTTCCTCCCCTTGTGGGAATCTCTTGGGGCAGGTCACGGAGGGCAGCGCGTTTCCTGGGGGAGGAGACTTTGGGTTGAGGGTACAGAAGAACTGACCGTTGGCAAAAGGACTGAGGCCAACAGTGGGGGCTGCAGGGAGGGAAGTTACGTCTTTTTTCCTGGGGGCCTTGCGCGTACATATTAACTTAAGCCCCCGCCCCTCATCCCCAGCATTGCCTCTCCAGATGTGCCGCCGCCCCCCTCGCGAGAAGACAGTTCTGGTGGGCCGCCGGGCAGTGCTGGAAGTAACTGTGTCCCGCTTGGGGGGCCACGTGTGCTGGTTGCGGGAGGGGGTCGAGCTGTGCCCGGGAGACAAATATGAGATGCGCAGCCACGGCCCCACCCACAGCCTGGTCATCCATGACGTGCGACCTGAGGACCAGGGCGCTTACTGCTGTCAGGCCGGTCAGGACAGCGCCCACACTCAGCTGCTGGTAGAGGGTGAGTAAAGCCGAGTGGGCAGAGGTCAGAGGGGCAGGCTGGCTGGCCAGAAGGAGGGGTCGTCTGAGAACTGGTGGGCTAAGATACACCTCTGAGAGGGTTTCTAGGACTTCAGGTGGCAGTCGGTTGGAGGATGTGTTGGAGGTAGGGTTGGGGGAGGGGTGGGATGGATCAAACCCAGGGCTGAGGCGAGGAGGGGGACACTGAGTTCTCAACATGAACCTTTTGGCTCAAGTCAGCTGTTCTCTCCTTTCCACATCCCTTACCCCTCTTCCTCTCTGGGTTTCTCATGCTCTCCTGACTTTGGACCATGTTTGTCTCTCCTGAACACCCCCGTTTCTACCAGTTCCTCTCCTTCCCATTTACCTGCCCCTGGTCTGTGCCCCTAACCTGCACACACCCCCACCCCCACCCAGTGGGCTTCTGCCTATCTCAACATCAGCCTGGGCAGGGGGCTCCTGAGTTAGTCCCATTTCTTTCCTCTTCCACATAGGAGATACCCCAACCTCTACCCCAAATCCTTGCATTCTCTTCAGATACCATGCCTTGCTCCACCCCTAACTGATCCCTACCTTCCTGCCTCCACAGCCCTGATAGAGGCCCAGAAAAAATAGGGCAGAGGCTGAGGGTCCAATTCTTCCTCTGTGGGTGCTCAAGCTCTGCCCTCTCCCCAACTCAGCCCAGAGCAGTACTCCCCACCCCTATCCTCTGCCTCTGCCTTTAGGCTGGTAGCTTTGCAGAGGAAGGTAGTACCCACTCTCTCCCCAGCCCCACATAGAGTTATTCCTCTGCAGGTAACTAGGAGGATGGAACCAGGCCAGGCAGGTGTCCTTGGACAGCTTGGAAGGCGTGTTCCCCTACCCTGGGCAGGGATGGGGAGACAGGGAAACCAGAGGTGTCAGGAAACAATAAAAGTGCTACAGCTCACTTCCCTGTCTCTCTGTGTGATAGTGGGAAAGCAGACCTTGCCTGAAGCCCTGTGTAATGAGTGATACAGGGGACCAAGGGCTGCAGTGCTTCCAGCTTGGCCATGGAAGCGCTAGCCACTGAAGACCACCATTCTTGGCACAGGCCATGCAGTTTGGCACATTTATAAAAGATGTAAAACAAAGAGTGGGGTCAGGGGAGACAGAAGCATGAGGTGTCCAGAGTGGCATGACAGACACCAGACATGCACCGTGCATTTAAGCCCCCCAACCCTCTCCCCAACTCGGCCCAGAGCAGTATTCCCCACCCCCATCCCCTGCCTCTGCCTCTAGACTGGTAGCTTTGCAGAGGACAGAAGACCAGGCTGAGGGGCACTGTAGTTTGCCCCAAGGACAAGGACAAGGACCCTTACATGAGTCCGGTTGGGAGGTGGAGTGTAGGGGAGGAAGGCAGGCCTCCTCCACTTAGACATGCAGGTGAGTGACCCGTAGGATCCCAGCAGTGGGAGAGGAGCCCGGGCCAAACCTGGAGAAGCCCTACCAATCAGAAATCTAAGGCAAGGGTCCCAGTGTCCCCTCCAAGCCTACCCACCCCCACACACATACACACACATGAACACACAGGCAACATACTCACAACCCTGAGCACACTCCAATGGGGCTTATACCCCAGGTTCCTCAGGAGCCCCTTCAGAGCTTGGCAGGGGGCTTTCCCCTCAGGCCAGGCCTAGCCTGAGACAGATCCTCCCTCTAGTGGCCAGGCCAGCCCTCTCTAGGGAGGGAAGAGGGACAGCCAAAGGCTGCAGGGTGGGGTGGGGCTGGGGGTGGGGGGGCTGGATGGTGGCCTGGCAGAGCTGGTGACTGCAGAGTCTAAACAGGCAGGGATACTGCTATACCCGCACAGGGGGGCCTGAGCAGGCTGTCAGTGGCCCCCGGGACCCATACTCATAGTCCGTGTCTGTGGGCGAGGCCATGAAGGAGCTCAGTGAGCTCCCTGTCTGCCGGTCTCGGAAGCTCTGGATGTAGCTCTGTACAGGAGTAAACATAGGTGTGAGAGTTCTATAGCAGACTGCTGCCCTGAAAGCCACCTCTTTCTGTAGCCCCACAAGCCTGATAGTCCCCCAGACTGCCATAGACGTAGGACCTAACCACTCCCAGAGTCTCCACAACATACCACATCCCACTTAAAATCCATACTCAGGACACCTTTCCCTCAATCCCAAAGCTAGGCCTACCAGGCCCCTGGTATAGGGGTTCCAATGGGTGGACAAGCAATAAGTCTTCTAGACAGCAACCAGCTTCTGGGGAAAGCCCAGTCCTGCTTGGAGCAGTCTGCGTACTTTTTTCTCCCTTATCTGGGCTGGAGGGATACAGGGTGCTCACCGGGGAGAGAACATCCCCATTGAAGCGTTTGATGGGCACTGGCCTGCGTCGATAAGCAGGGTCAGGGGGCCCAGGCCTTGGAGGAGCACGGGGACCTCTGGGGGGAGCTCGAGGGGGCCTTTTTTTCCGCCGCTTCTCCTTGCGCTCTTCTTGCTGCCGAATCCGCATCAGCTGTACACGTCGTCGCTGCCGGCTGATGACCACTGTGGAGGGATGGGCACAGAAGGCTCTCAGAGGCCCACGTGCCTCATCTCCCCCAAGCCCTCCCTCTTTCTTCCCACCCTGAGGCTCCAGACTTCCAGATTCCCCTTGTGCAGAACCCCCACCACCACCTCATTGCTTCCTTTTTTGGTCTCCCACTTCTCAGATGGGACTTCCTGCTGTTTTTTTTTTTTCTTCCAAAGTTCTTTATAGAAGATTCCTAGACTTCTAGGTACCCCCTTCCTTCTGTTACCCCTCTCCCAATCCTGAGCTATAGGTGACTCACCTAGGCCAGTACCATCATCTTTCCACTGGACACCCACAGAAGCTTCCTCATAGGCTTCCCCCTCTGCTTCCTCCCTCCCATGCTTTGGACACTCAGCAGCAGAATGAGCACACTAAAAGTAACATTAGAATCTATCTTCCCCTACTTTAAACTCTCCAGTGACATCTCCTTGTCCTAATAAAAAAGTCATCATTGTAGCCCAGAGGGCATCCAGGATCAGGCTGACTCCCAAACCTTACCTACTGCACTCCAGCCCACTTACCCAAGTCAAGCTCATTCCCTCTCAGGGCCCTCACATTGCTGTCTCTCTTCTCTAGCTCTTTGCATGTCTGGCCCCTTATCCTTCAGCTCTCTGCTTACATGTTCACCTCCTTCAAGCAGCCTGACTTGGCCAACCTAATTATAATAGCCTTCCTATGTCACTCTTTCATATAACCCTGTGTATCTCTTTCGTATCACTCTGCACACAAATGATCTTATTTGTTTGTATGTCTGTTATCTGTCTCATGCCCACCCCAAATGTACACCCATAAGGGCAAGGACCTTTTCCATTTTGTCTCTTCTGTCCCCTCAGTGCCTAGAATGAGGTCAGCACAAAGTTCTATACATTGTCATGGAGAGAATGGTGGCACTTGGGTCCTATCATCCCAGACCTTGAGCAAGTCAGCTCTCTGACCCCATAACGCTTTCTGCTGCTGATGTGTACAGCTTCTGTCCACCACTCCCTCAGCCTTCCACTTATCCCTGGACACCTTCTCTTCTTATGCCCACCTTGGCTTTGCCCTCTCACCTTCGGTGTGGGTGTCCCCCTCGGCCGTCACCCGCCACTGCACCAGAACACCCATCAGGCTGAGCAGGGGCCAGAGAGCCAGCAGGGCCCAGCTCCGCCAGCAGAGAGGGGGCACAGGGGCGGCCCGTAGACGCTCCACCACGTAGCGCCCCAGCAGTAGCAGCTCAGCAAAGTAGTCAGCAGCGGTGGCGATGAGCGCAGCACCAGTCACTGCGGTGGCCAGGGTGGTGAGTGGGCGGGGCCAACGCAGAGTGAGCAGGGCACAGAGCAGACCGCCCCCCAGCAGCAGACCCAGTGGACCCCACACAGAGCCTGGCTGGTAGTAGGGTGCGGAGCCCAGCAGGGCGGCAGCAGCGAGCAGCAGCCCGAGCAGCAGCCCCACCAGGAAGAGGCCCACGCTGCGCACCAGCATGGCCACGAGCCCGCAGAGCAGCCCGATGCCCAATGCAATGCCTGCACTCGCCCCAGCGCTCAGCTGCGTCTCCAGCACTCGCTCTCGGTAGCACAGGAGGAAGATGACCACTGAACCAAACAGCAACCCAGTGAGGAAGAGTACTGCCTTGAAGCAGCGGTAACCTAGAGGGGAACAGGGGCTAGTAAGGGGCCAAAATGAGGTCATCAGGCTGGAGGGAGAAGGTCAGAGGGGTCAAGGACATGGGATCACGGGGAACTGGAGAGAAGGATGCTAAGATCAGAGAATTAGAGGTCACTGAGGTCATGAGAGCATTAGTGATGGGGCCATTGAGGTCAGGGGAGGTCAGAGAGATATAGCCATTGTGGGTCACTGGGAAAACAATCATTGAGATAATGATTTGGGATCTTTGAGGGGTATAAGAGTCAGGATAGATCACTAGAGTCAAGAGTCAATAATTGGTCATTGGGGTCACTGAGATCAGAGGGTTCAGAGAGAGAAGTCACTGGAATCACAGGGGGATTGGTAAGAGTCAATGGGGAGCTGGGCATTGTGGCTTATGCTTTACAACACTTGGGGAGGCTAAATCAGAAGGATCACTTGAAACCAGGAGTTTGAGACCAGCCTGGGCAACATAGTGAGAACTTGCATCTACAAAATATTTTTAAAAATTAGCTGAGCGTGGTGGCATATGCCTGTAGTCCCAGCTACTCAAGAGGCTGAGGCAGGAGGACTGCTTGAGGCTGCAGTGAGCTATGATTGTGCTACTGCACTCCAGCCTGGGTGACAGAGTGAGACCCTGTCACAAAAGAAAGTAAAAGAGTCACTGGAGCAGGGCACAGTGGCTCACACCTATAATCCTGGTGCTCTGGGAGGCTGAGGCAGGTGGATTGCCTGAGCTAATAGGTTCGAGGCCAGCCTGAGCTGGAGGGAGACCCCTGCTTCTAAAAATAGCCAGGCGCTGTGGTGGGTGCCTGTAGTCGCATCTACTTGGGAGCTTGAGGCAAGAGAGTCACTTAAGCCCAAGAATTTGAGGTTGCTGTGAGCTATGACACTACAGCACTCTACCAAGGGCTACAAAGTAAGACTCTGTCTCAAAATAAATAAATAAATAGTCATTGGGGACTTTGGGGATTATTTAGAGACAGGAGGTATTAGGAAATCAGAACAAACTTGAGATATGGAGGCAACACAGGTTTAGAAAGATGAGGTCTTTGAGGGATCACAGGGCTTCAGAGATATGGTATCAATGGAAGATTACAAAGGACAGAGAAGCAGGGTTATTGGGAAGGGGTTCCAAGAAATGAGGGTTTTGCAGTTCCAGAGGGTTGAAAGAGGTGGAATCACTGAGAGTATTAAAGAGTTTGTGAGAGAGTGGAGCACTGAGGTCAAAGAAATGTGATTATTGAAATTACAATATGGGGTGGGGATCAGATGATAAGGTTATAGGGATCAGAGCTAGGAGAAATAGCAGGAATCAGAGGAATGGGAGGTAATGAGATAGCAGTAGAGGGGGTAGAGGGGGTCACTAGGGCTTATGTGGGGTTATAGAGAATCAAGGAGGGGGGAATAGTGGTTGTAGAGTTTAAGAAATAAGGAAGTCAGAGATGGAGGGGAAGTATCAGAGTCCAGGAGAACTGTGACCTTTCTCTGAGGTCAGAGAGAGAAGTAGGGCACGGACAAGGGCTCACAGTCTAAGAGCCTGGTAATGCTGGCATCCAAGTGGGGTAGGATGTCAGGCAAACCCAAGAGAAGAAATATGGGGCTGCACTGAGCAACACGCAGAAAGAGTAAATATGGATAGTGGAGGGGTTAAGATGATATAGATTCCTCGGAGGCCCAGAACATGTCCTGAACCCATAGTGGGCACTTCTTCCTGCCTACTCTGCAGTTTTTCAGCTCAGAGTTTGGGGGAGGAAATGGTGGGACCATCTGGCTGCCATCTACCCACCCATTCTAGGAGGAGGTTTGGAGGCTTCAGAGCACAAATCTTACACTACGTCTTCCCAGCCTGAAACCCAACCCCATAGCCTCTTTTAGACCACTGGTTCCAGTCACCTATAAATCTCCTCCTGGAGGCTTTCTTTGGGTCCCCAATCCACAGAGCCTACTTTTTTTTTTTTTTTTTTTTTTGGAGACAGAGTCTCACTTTGTCCCCCTGTGTAGAATACCATGGCATGATAGCTCACAGCAACCTCAAATCCTGGGCTCAAGTGATTCTCTTGTGTCAGCCTCCTGAGTAGCTGGGACTACAAATGCCCACCACAATACCCTGATATATATTTTTTTAGAGATAGGGTCTCACTCTTGCTTAGGCTGGTTTCAAACTCCTGAGCTCAAGCAATCCACCCACCTCAGCCTCCCACAGTGCTAGGATTACAGGTGTGAGCTACCGCACCCAGCCCTCGCAGAGCCTACTCTTGTCTCTTAAGTTCTGTTACTCTTGCTATAGAGTTGCTGGGCACTTACCCCATGCTGCCACTAGCACATATGGCAACTTTGTGCAAATTAGAAAAAGATGTGCCTTTCTCTAGGCAAAGCAACCTTATGCCAAGGACTAGAATTTGTCAAACAAAGCATGAGCTAGATTTCAGTCCTACTTGCCTATTCAGCTGAACTCCCTTCTTCAGTATTCATCTTGTAAAACAGTTCACAGCACCCCTGATTATCAGCTCCTTCTTTGCAGGCAATCTCATGTATGTAACTACCATATGTTAGCTCCTCTAACATATATCAGGTATGAATGTTAAGGAGTCTTTCTCCCCCAAAGACAATATACCCTGAGGTAAAGTACCATGTCTAATCACTCTGCTTAGTGTTTTCAGTGCCTCCTAGCACAGGAACCCAACACATCTTTACCACAATAGCTACCATTTACTGCGTGCCTATTAATTCTCATAATGATCCTAAGTGAGACAAATATTGTTCCCATTATTCTGATGAGAAAACTGAGGCTCAGACAAGTTAATGTGCCCAAGTCGTCATAATTAGTAAGTACAGAGCTAAGTTCAAACTCAAACATGTTTAATTTAAAAACCTGCATTGTTTAGAATCTAGAGTATAGATAATCAATGAACATGAGTAGGATGAAAGAAAAAGAAAAGAAAGAGGGTTATTCACGATGGTGGTGGTAGTATTCCAGGAATATTTGGGGGCCCCAGAAAAAACTTGGGGAAAATGGGGAGCCCAGGTGAGGGATGAGATGGGGATCTCACCGAAGAAGCAGTAGACGACTCCAAACAAACAGCACATGATGCAGACGAGGGCCGGCAGTGCCTGGTACCTGCGCTCCAGGGGCTGTTCACAAGGTGCACCCCAAAAGGTGTCATCTGGCTCAGGAGGCAGCAGCTGGAACCGCAGAGTTGCCACAGTGCCCGGCATAATGCTGGGAATGAAAGGGAGTCAACCTCCCAGGTAAACCTGACAGAAGGGAAGTTAGTGTCAAGGAGGAGTCCTGGGTCCTCACCAAGATGGGAGCGGGAGTGGAAGAACTCAGCAAGGACACAGTGGACAAAGGAGTGGTGCCCACATCATGCAGCTCTGGAGGCTTCCCTGGGATGGGGAGGGGGGCAGAAACAAAGGGAGACAAAACTCCTTGGCTAGATGGGGCTGGGATAAAGTTAAAAGGGGCATGGTGTGGGGGATAAGGACAGCGTGCTGCCGTGAGCCAGTGAGGAGGCAGCTAGGAGATTCATCTGTGGGCGGCTAAATCTGGGATTGTCCAAGATTTACCTGGGCTGGATGCGACCAGAGCTTCTGAGCGAAAGAAGCTGTGCAGGGGCTGGAGTGGCTAGAGTTCTGGCGCTCCAGAGGCTCCAACTGACTAGGGTCCGGGAAAAGTCCGCCTTGTTGGGAACGGGGCCTCTGGGCCGGAGAGAACGGTCTCTGGGCGGCGGCGTCGCCGCTCCACCTCCAACACCAGCTGGTATTCCAGTCCCGCGGCGTCCGAGGACTCGGACTGGGCCTAGGGAAGGGAAAGGAGCAGAAGCAGGAGCTGGGGCTCAGGCCGCCCCAGAGCCGCGGCCCCATGCCCTGAGCCCGCCCGCGGCCTTTGGTGCTGATGGACAGCTCCGGCCTCTGCTTCTGACGTCACTCAGGGCGCACCATCTAGGCAGGGGCGGGATGCTTCTGACGTCACCCAGGACGCACCAACCACGCCAGAGGGAGGCAGAGGACTCCGCCCCCGGCGTCTCCTGCTCCCGCACTGAGGAGGGGGCACTTCCGGGGGTCCTTCCTCCTTAACCTCCCCCTTCTCCTCCCTCTCCGGTAGCTAGAACCTTAGACCCCACCCCGGGGGCGGGGCGCTCGCAGTGACACGTCGGACAGCGGCTGAAGCGGCTGAGGCTTCGGTGCCAAGCGCAGCAACACCGCACGGAACCGAGCAGCGACTAGAGAAGGATTCAAGCGCGGCACAGGGGATTCGGCTCGGGCCTCTGGCTCTGGTCGGCGGGGAGGGAGCGGGCCTGCCCGCTGGGCCCGGGCCCTCCGGATCCGCCCCCTCCCCGGTCCCGCCCCCTTGTAGCCTTCCCCGGCTGCTCTGGGGTTTCGCCCCGGCCCGGGGCCCGCGGTCCGGGCGCCATGCGGGCATCGCTGCTGCTGTCGGTGCTACGGCCCGCAGGGCCCGTGGCCGTGGGCATCTCCCTAGGCTTCACTCTGAGCCTGCTCAGCGTTACCTGGGTGGAAGAGCCGTGCGGCCCAGGCCCGCCCCAACCCGGAGACTCTGAGCTGCCTCCGCGCGGCAATACGAACGCGGCGCGCCGGCCCAACTCGGTGCATCCTGGAGCCGAGCGCGAGAGGCCCGGGGACGGCGCAGGCGCCGGGGAGAACTGGGAGCCTCGTGTCTTGCCCTACCACCCTGCACAGCCCGGCCAGGCCGCCAAAAAGGCCATCAGGTAGTGATCCGTTACGTTCCCTCCACCCTCTAGGCACCGGCCGGGACGCGCGCGCGTAGGGGAGGCTGCCGAGGGCCGGATCAGGCTCCGGAAGGAACGAGCTGGCCGGCCAGGAAGTCTTTGAGCCGCGATAACTTCCAATAGTCCTGCTTCCCAGGAGACGTGGGGCCAGACTGACCCTTTTCTGGGCCCCGTCCGGGCCTGGGCTGAACTTGCCAATCTCTGTCCTAAACCAGCTCGACCTGATGGTCCCCCAAAGATCCTCTTAGCTTCCCGGCTAGTCTGCTGGATTTAGATAAATGACTGATATATACAGTGAGTGTATAGAGAGAGAGAAGAAGAAAGGAGAAAACTAGGGTTTACCTCTGTCTGGTTCTGAGTGGCCACCTCAGGGTGCAGTGAGGGAAATGACTGCTGGTGACTTGATATAATTTCTAAGTAACAAAGTTTCAAATTCCACTTCTGCAACTCACCTTCTGCCTAGTAACGGTAAGTTGCTAGAACCCAAGTCCCAGTTTGCCCCCCACCCCAGACATATTAATTCCTATGCCATACATTCCTTTAAATCATATATGTGAGATATTTGGGATACATAGTATGTCAAACATTTAGTAGGTGTTTTAAATAAATACAGTCAGTCCCGTTTTACAGATGTCTCAGATTAAATGTGTTCAAGGACCCAACTACGAAGTAGTGAAACCAGGAATCAGACCCACAATTTCTCTCTTATATCTGTATGAATAGTGGCATCTTCCAAATGCAAAGCACTATATAGGTAAGACTAATATTTCACTTAAGTTGTTATGACCCCTGGGAGAGAGGTGGTTTTTTTTGTTGTTGTTGTTGTTGTTGTTGTTGTTTTGTTTTTTTAGAGAGAGATTTTGTTTTTATCCTGGTCATAGGTGAGAAAAAAGACACAAAGAAAATGCCAGAATCTACATTTTCTTGCCTGCTCAGTTTTCTTTTCGGTAACTTTGTGCGTCCTCTCCCCCAGGACCCGCTACATCAGCACGGAGCTGGGCATCAGGCAGAGGCTGCTTGTGGCAGTACTGACCTCACAGGCCACATTGCCCACTCTGGGTGTGGCTGTGAACCGTACTCTGGGGCACCGACTAGAGCGTGTAGTGTTCCTGACAGGCGTACGGGGCCGCCGGGCACCACCTGGCATGGCTGTGGTGACCCTGGGCGAGGAACGTCCCATAGGGCACCTGCACTTGGCGCTGCGCCACCTGCTGGAGCAGCATGGAGACGACTTTGACTGGTTCTTCCTGGTGCCAGACACCACCTACACCGAGGCGCACGGACTGGCACGCCTAACTGGCCGCCTCAGCCTGGCCTCTGCTGCCCACCTCTATCTGGGCCGGCCCCAGGACTTCATTGGTGGAGAGCCCACACCAGGCCGTTACTGCCATGGTGGCTTCGGGGTGCTGCTGTCCCGCACACTGCTGCAGCAGTTGCGCCCCCACCTGGAAGGCTGCCGTAACGATATCGTCAGTGCACACCCAGATGAGTGGCTGGGACGCTGCATTCTTGATGCCACGGGAGTGGGCTGCACTGGCGACCATGAGGTAGGATGACAAGCTACCCCACTGGTGTTTCCTATATGAGCTTGTGCCCTTTCCTTTGAGAAGCAAAAGGGTAGTGGAGATACAGACCTGAGTTTCCATGCCAGTCCTGTCATTTTCTATCCTTGTCACCCTGGGTAAATTCCTAAATCTCCTAAGCTTCAGTGTTTGTTATGATTTTATTTGGGTCCTTTCACAGCTCTGAAACAGGATGCATGCCCATTCACAGATGAGCTAGCAGAGGCTTGCCTAAGATCATACAAACTCACAACTGATTGAAGTACACTGAAAATCCACAGAAATCTGACTCCAAGTTCACAACAGGTCTTAGGAAGAGGAGATGAGATACTCATTGTGAGACAAGGGGAAAGACAATCCATCCCATTATAGATACTTTCACTTCCTCTTCCCAGGGTGTACATTATAGCTATCTGGAGCTGAGCCCTGGGGAACCTGTGCAAGAGGGGGACCCTCGTTTCCGCAGTGTCCTGACAGCCCACCCTGTACATGACCCTGTGCACATGTATCAGCTGCACCAAGCTTTTGCCCGAGCTGAGCTGGAACGCACATACCAGGAGATCCAGGAGTTACAGGTATGGTCTGGGCCTGGGAGGGGGGAGCAGAATGGTGAGGGGAACAGGGTCTGAGAGGTCTCAGAGATGCCAGAGAAAGAAAAATGTTAGTGCCAGAATTGCAGAACAAACCTACCTCCCAGCCCCTCTTTCCTCATTCTCTGAGGAGCCTCCAGAAACCTTCCTTTAAACTTTTAGGCTTCTTCCTTCTTTAGGGAAAGGAAAGATGGGGGCTGTGGGTAGGCAGAAGTTGGCAGGGGCCTGGGGCCTCTTCCTGAGTGGCACTTGCTGCCTACCTCATCCTCTAGCTCTGTGCTGACCCCTCTCGTCTCCCCCTTGCTTATGGCCTGCATCTCTGTCCCAGTGGGAAATCCAGAACACCAGCCATCTGGCAGTTGATGGGGAGCGGGCAGCTGCCTGGCCTGTGGGCATCCCAGCACCATCCCGCCCAGCCTCTCGCTTTGAGGTGCTGCGCTGGGACTACTTCACGGAGCAGCATGCTTTCTCCTGCGCTGATGGCTCACCCCGCTGCCCATTGCGTGGGGCTGATCGGGCTGATGTGGCTGATGTCCTGGGAGCAGCCCTGGAGGAACTCAATCGCCGCTACCACCCGGCCCTGCGGCTCCAGAAGCAGCAGCTGGTTAATGGTTACCGCCGTTTTGATCCAGCCCGTGGTATGGAGTACATGCTGGACTTGCAGCTGGAGGCCCTGACCCCTCAGGGTGGCCGGTGGCCCCTCACTCACCGGGTGCAGCTGCTCCGGCCTCTGAGCCGTGTGGAGATCTTACCTGTGCCCTATGTCACTGAGGCCTCCCGTCTCACTGTGCTGCTGCCTCTGGCTGCAGCTGAGCGTGACCTGGCCCCTGGCTTCCTGGAGGCCTTTGCCACTGCAGCATTAGAGCCTGGTGATGCTGCAGCAGCCCTGACCCTGTTGCTACTGTATGAGCCACGCCAGGCCCAGCGGGCAGCCCATGCAGATGTCTTTGCACCTGTCAAGGCCCACGTGGCAGAGCTGGAACGGCGTTTCCCCGGTGCCCGGGTGCCATGGCTCAGTGTGCAGACATCTGTACCCTCACCACTGCGCCTCATGGATCTGCTCTCCAAGAAGCACCCACTGGACACCTTGTTCCTGCTGGCCGGGCCAGACACGGTGCTCACACCTGACTTCCTGAACCGCTGCCGCATGCATGCCATCTCTGGTTGGCAGGCCTTCTTCCCCATGCACTTCCAAGCCTTCCACCCAGCTGTGGCCCCACCACAAGGCCCTGGGCCACCAGAGCTGGGCCGCGACACAGGCCGCTTTGATCGCCAGGTGGCCAGCGAGGCCTGCTTCTACAACTCTGACTACGTGGCAGCCCGTGGGCGACTGGCAGCGGCCTTAGAGCAGGAGGAGGAGCTGCTGGAGAGCCTGGATGTATACGAGCTGTTCCTGCGTTTCTCGGGACTGCATGTGCTGCGGGCAGTGGAGCCAGCACTACTACAGCGCTACCGGGCCCAGACATGCAGTGCCCGGCTCAGTGAAGATCTGTACCACCGCTGCCGCCAGAGCATGCTTGAAGGCCTTGGCTCCCGAACCCAGCTGGCCATGCTGCTCTTTGAGCAGGAGCAGGGCAACAGCACCTGACCCTGCCCTGTGTTCCTGAGCCCTGGCACAGCCGTACCACACCCTGCTCCTCCTCAACACCTGGAGACACCTGCCAGCCTCGCCAGACAGGGCTGGCCATAGCCTCTTTCCCCAGGGCAGCCCACTGGTCCCCTCTCTCTGGCTTGTGGGTCCTTGGGCTCAGGACAAGCTCTGGGAGAGGTGCCACCAGAGCCATGCCCTTCTGACCCCAAATCCAATCTCCCTGCCCCCTTGACACTGCTGATTCAGGCTGTGGCCTCCGTGTATTTATGCAGTACATTCTGCCTGACACCAGCCCCACCTCAGGGTCAGGCCCTGGGTTCTGGGCTGTAGATGAGCTGTTGAGAAAGGGAAAGCTGAGGGAGGAGGGGAGCATCTCCCAACTTCTCCATTCTGGACCCCTGACGAAGCTGCCTGCCCTTAATAAACAGGCTGAGTGTGGACTAGTGATTCTAAGGCTTTGAAAGTGAGCATGGGGGAGGGAGGGCTGACTGGGGACGAAGGCTCCCTTGTCCCTGCTGGAGCCCTCATTTCCTTTTACCCAGGACCAAGTCATGCATGTGCCCAGCCCCTCCCCAGGCCCCAGCATGTGCTTGGTCACATATACACACAGAGGATTCTTTATGCCTCTTTATTCCCAATTTCATCAGCACTTTATAAAATCAGACTGGAGAGAGAGGGGCCTGAGAAGGCTGCCTTCCCACTCCAGCTCAGCCAAGGCTGGCAGGTCCCCCGCCCCTTCCCTGTGGAGGGACTTTGGGACCAGGATTAGTGCAGGGGGAACTGGGAGCTGGGCCAGGCCTGCTGGGCTACCTATTCTCCCTGCCAAGAAGGGAGGTTGGCCCAGAATGGGGCAGGAAGTAGGGCCAGCCCAGCACTCCTCAGTCCTGGGGGCTCTCCTCTCCTGCTGACATTTAGGCTGGGGCTCTGGCTATTCTGAATCACCCACCCTTATACCCCCACCCATCTTCTACATCTGCCTCCCCCCCCAGCCCTCCCTAAATATATACAAATGTACAGAATGTCCCACCTCTGCTGGGGTGGGCTCTATCCTCCACCTCCCTCTCTCCTTTCCTCCCTTCCCCTCCACAGGTGCCCACAGTCTGGTCTTTAGCCCTCCCTAGGCACCAGCCTGGGGGTGGGGGATACAAAGAAGGACGCCGGTGCAAAGCTGAATCCTGGCCCTCACAGGGAGCACCACCCTCCCCTGAGCCCTTGGCTGCCCCCAGGCCTCTGGCCCAGGAGCAGGAGGAGAATCTGCTAGGGATCTGGGAAGGGGCCCCAGACTTCTGGGTCCTTTCAGACACAACACCATCCTAGCAAGCAAAGTCTTCAAAGAGGCCTCCTGGGGGGCCGTGGGGGTGGTGGTGGTTGGGGAGCAGGCTGCTGGCCCCCCCGCCCTCAGCACAGCCCCGGCCTGGGCAGGGACTCTGCAAGATGAAGGGAGAATGGGGCAGAGAGAGCTCAAGTGGTGCCTTCAGCCTGAGGCACCCAGGCTTTCCTTGTCTCCTGGGGCAAAGGCTCTGGGAAAGCCCAGGGACCCCTCCCACAGGCTAGTCCAGAAACAGTAGGATTACCCAGCCCCGGGGAGAGGGTGCTCACTACACACTCCACAGAGCTTGTCCTCACCTGCTCCTTCAGCTCCTGCAGCCCCAAGGTAGAGATTCCCCCAGTGGAGGTCCGCAGAGGGGTCTTGGGACGCCGCCATACCCGCTTTAGTCGGTCCCAGGACACCTTGGGGTTCAGGGTAGGGGGACAGTAGTTTCAGGAAATTTAGTTGAGGAGAACAGAGTGTCTTCCCAGGTCAGTTCCGAAGACTTGCCACTGTAATAAACCCTGGAAACCCTGCTGTCTGCCCACAGCCTTCTTGCTCCTCCAGGGAGCACCTGAGGCCTTCCCGTCAGTCAGGGCACCTTGGCACAGAACCCAAGATTGACTTCCCAGCCAGATCAGTCCCAGCAGGGAGCCTGTGCCACCCCCTCTGCTTTCCCACAGCCCCACCCTTGTCCCCTACTCTCCAGCCCTTGCCTCATAGATGTAGTCAAGGATTTCCAGCAGGGTGAGGATGCTGGCCCCAATGAACAGGCCCATCTGTCCCCCGAGGTCTCCTGGGAAGCAGGAGAGCAGGGTCAGAGGAAGCCAGCTGGGCCAGCCCACCCTCCACATGCTGTGGGAGGGGCTGAGTCTCACCCAGCAGGGCCGACAGGCCATAGGCTGCTCGCTGCTCCACAGCTTCAGAGGTCAGAGCCTCGAAAAAGACATCTAGCACCAGGAAATTCTCCCTGTGGAGACAGGAAATGGGGTATCCGTATGGGGTCACTGGGATTCCCTGCACTAGGGAGTAGTGACAACAGCCCCAGACTCCCAAAGGCTGTGAGGGGAGGCAGTCCTCTGTTGTGTGTGTGTGTGTTAACTTCATGTCCTTGGGTAGCAAAGGGCCCAGCAGAGCAAAATGAAATTCCTGCACCTGAAGGATTCTGTCCTGCCTCTGAAGCAGCAGATACTGTCATTTTGTCTCATCCTTAGAAACTTTAGTGGCTCCCTACCGCCCATCTGTCCACTCCAAAATTCCTCAACTTTCAAAACGGCTGCACCTTCTTATCCAAGCTGCTTTCTTCACTGCTGCTCTCCACACCACCTACTTCTCAGGCCCTGCACCATCCCATAGGTCTCTAAATGGGATGCCTCCCATCTTTCCTCCTCTTATAGACCCAAACCCAGGGTCCTCAGAGGCTCAGCCCAGGCCTCCCCTGCTTGTGTTCCTCCACCGTGGCCTAGGAATCAGTCCTGCACCATCAAATGTGAGCTCATTCACAAACTGCGCCATGGGTTGTGTGTCCTAATCATCTGTCCCTGCAAGACCTAGTACTGGGCATTATCAATTTGCTGCAGGGTATCAGACCAAGGCTCAATGTGGCCCATCCTGCCTCAGCCTGCAGACCCCTGTGCCCCTCCCACCTTGCCCCTCAGCACCACACTGTCACTACCATGCATGTAATGGCTCCCAGGTTGCTGGAGGAGAAAGACACATAAACAAAGGAGTCTAAAACAATAAAGTATATAGAGTGACAGATAGGTACAGGGCACTGTGCTGTGGGAGCTCAGATGAGGTGTTTGGCCTTGGAAGAGCCTCCCTGGAGGTGGAGACACAGGATGTGACTTAAACAATGGATGGGGGTTGGTTAGAAGAAAAGGACTGTGAAAGGCATTCCTGGCAGAAATCTCATCCTGAGTAAAGATGCAGCTCAATTCCAGTCTCCACCATGCCCCAGGCACGTGCACACACACACCGTATGTAGGTCTCGTTGCGGTTGTATTTCCTTGCCAGGTACCGAGCTGAGCCTCTGTTGGGGATCTTGACCATGGAGATTTCTTTCCCATAGCGCGTCAGGTTGCAGGGTGTAGGGCAGAAACAGGGGCCCTCGGAGCCCCCACCCAGGGAGTCTGCAACACAGAGGCACCAACTGCAGTGGGAGTAGAGCAGGGGGACATGAAGGCCCACGAGCTGCAGGGAGGAGGCACAGGGGCTGTCCTGAGCAGGTATGTCCACACTGAGGGCCTTTACTGACCCACTGTGGCACTCCTAGGAAGACCAGCTGGGGGGTCCCCTCCTGGACCAGCTTCAGATAACCCAAAAAAGCAGGTACAGGCAGAACCCCCCGGCACCCTCCCACAGGCTTATCCATCTGTCTTCTAGCCTTCAGGGACAGAGAGGTCCTCATGACTCAGAGGGTGGACAGAGCCAATCCCCTGAAGTTAATCAACTGCATGAGCCCTCAGATATGCAAGGAGACGTGGAAAGGATGCTGAGATGGATGGGTGGATGGAACAGAACATACAGACAGACAGGATTTATGCCCTTGGTATGCAGGATTTTCTCTACTTGTGTGTTTAAATCTACTCTCCTCTCTCCTCTACCTTGCTCTGTGCCCCAAGAGGCTGATCTCCATCAAGTTGTATCATGTAGAATCCCTTGTCCTCTGGGCAGGGTTTGACCAACCAGAGGCCCCCAGCAGGATGAGAAGGTAGGAGGGGAGAGACCCCACGTCATTTTTTCCTCCTGGCTTCTCACTGCCAATTGGCAGAGGCTGAGTTCCTCCAGCCACGCTGCTGTCAGCTGGCCCTCTCAGATGTCATAGGTCCCTCTTGGGTTGCACAGAGCTCCCCTCCTCTCCCCCTGTAGGCCTAGGGGGCAGAGGTGAAGACTCCCTGGTGTTGCTAGCTTTGGACTCTCACGATGCCTTGTGATCCCATTACCCTTGTCATGTCATCTGTTTCTTCACTGAACATTCTTCAATCACTTTGACAGATGCAGGTGGTGTGGGGAACAGAGGTCTGGATGTGACATTCTGCTGCTCAACTTTTCAAACCCACCCCCAAAGCCCCAGCACATCTGAATTACTGCAGTGAGCACCCAGCCAGTCCCTTGCTTTGAATCCTCCCCTCACACATTCTGTACATCCCAGCAGACTCACCTTCTCCC